GCCCCGGCGTCCCCTTCCGGCCAGTCTCCAGCCCTGCCCAGGGCTGGCTGCAGGCTTGTGGTCCTGACTGCTGCACAGCATTGCCAGTGACAAGCAGTGTCTTGAAACCAGCTACCTGCCTGTACAGTAGCAACAGCTTCTTAATACTGATCAGTAACTAATGGCACACTCTAAGGGACCGACCAGGCATAAAAAACAATCTCTGCTTCGTATTACACAGTGAGGTGATGGAGAGCAACACTGTTCTTGGATAATGTTAAACTAGCAAGAAGTAAGAAGAAAAGTCTAAAATTCAGTTAGTATTTAGTTAGAACTACTTCTCACATGAATTATCCCCAATACTCCTATGGCACAGTTGCAGCATTCCTTTGTTTTTTAAAGTATCTTTAAAATTTTTTTTCAGAAGTAGTTCTAGTAAGTGATGCAACACCACAAGTAATACAACCAACTGCCTTTGAGAAGGTAATGTCATTTGTGGCAAGGTCTGTTTTATTTCTGCTGATTTAGTTGGGAAAATGTCCATACTACGTGTGGTTTTTTAAAAAAAGGAAAAAGATCTTCTCAGCCATGTAGAATTTGGCAAGACTTCCTGAAAAACGTACATTTCTTAAGGACTCATGTGACTCTGGGTCATGAGACGGACTGACCTGTAGACCAGAATGAGGTTTCACTGGCAAGAGAAAGACTAATACTGTTGAGTCCAATGTGCAGTCGTAGGAGAGGCTACCGCCCAGGCTGGGCTATTGGCATCCACAAGATAAAGCTCAGCTGTGCTGTGGGGAGTTGTCATCTGCTTAGGAATTCAGGAGTCTTATTAAAGTTGTAGAAATATTTCTAACTACAATTATTTCAAACCAATTTACCAAAATCAGGTGAAAACCGGTGTCTAGTCAATGGAAATAAAATAATTTACCTCCTAAGCAACAAGTGGCAGACATCTTGCACTGTAAGTTTCAAGACAAAGAAACCTTGCAGGGACTCAACAGTTTAAATATTTAAAGACTGGTGTAAACTGCATTGTGTCAACTTTGCCCTCTCCAACAAGCACTTACTCCTCGAGAAGGCACTGTACTTTAAGGAAGTTCGGTATCAAAAAGCACCTCAATGAAAGTATGGTACCAAACCAGGTGGTGGTGAAATATTCACAGGTGAGAGGAGCCCTTGGAAATGAAGCCTAATTAAAACAGGCTTCTCTGTATAAGAAAAAAAATGTGCTGGCTTTCATTATTTTAAATCCAAATTCTTCAAAGTTATTCTTCAAAGTGGGTAAGGCAATGGGATCAATCAGAATTTTCAGTTGTAACAACAACATTCCT